CAGATAATGGTTTATTCTGTTGATTAAAACTAATGTAGAATGTTATGAAATAAGAATGTCCAATTTGACAAAAATATCACGGCCCTCTTTACAATTTATTAACTATTTCTCATTTATTATTAAAATAAACAAATCATAAATAATACATTGCAATTACTGTCAAAAGAGATTGTAACAAACTTTAAAATATTAAAAATCCAGTGATTTTTTGTAAATTTTTTTAGTGACATTACCATTAAACATTATTCAGAATAATGGATAAGTGTCCAATTACAACTCTTACCAAAAGTTGTTTATACCTCATATCAAAATTGTTTACATTACCTTTTCAAAATTGTATTACATATTGCAATTATATATTTTATGTAGAATTGTTTCTAAAATAGTAGTCTAAAATTATTTATATCCATCTGTTATATAAAATTGTTTAGATCTCTTAATATTATTTAACTACATGAAAACTCAACTTTCCAAATACATACTGACATGTCTTGAAGTAAAACTTTAATTATTATCTTTTTCTAAAGATTAAAATGCTGAAATTTTATTTTAAAACACATTTGGGCTAGAACGGCTCTATTTAGTGAGCACTAGGAAAGGCACATTGCAACCCGCTTTTCATAATTTTTTTATAGTTGGGTGAGCAATCTATAATATATGTATCATTGAACATCTCATAAACGCCAGTGGATGAATGACATTTCGATTAACATAAAGCTAAAAAGATTTATAATTATTATTATCAATCTTTTTTATTAATTTACATTTTTTAAACGTTATTGTAATACTTTTAAATTCAGTGTTACTAAATACCGATATTTTAACATTGGATACACTTGTTTAAGGTACAACTTTACAATTTATTGTCACTTAGCCATTTAAATCTTTTTGCTTAAAATGTATATGCATGTCCAGATTTTAATGATGTTTCACATTTTACGTCATTTTGATCATGTACACGATTGTTTGGTACGGGCCGGTATCTATTTTTAACTATATTTAATATTTAAAAAAATACCCTTCATTATTTACTTGCAATGTTTACCCCATTTAATTATAAAATTAAACACTAGAGAGGGCTAAGTTCGGCAGTAGTGCTGCCTCTATATTTCACGCACGGTTCTTATAGTTCATCGTGTTTTTAATAAACCAAGTCCGCCCCTGTCACAGACTTCGAATCTCCTCCCAGTTCCCCCACTCCGTTAACCTTTCTTTAGAAATTGGCAACATTCGCGCAGCACAAATACCGGTATATGTAACATCTCTGGTCTCTTTTATCTAAGGCTAGAACCGACCAGCCGGACCAGCGCGTTGGTGTTCTAGAACGATCAGGATTGCTTAGAACGGGATAAATACGTACAGCGCGGCGACATTGCGCTTAGTTTAAAACTGAACGCGTAACCAACGTCCAGCCAACGTCCAGCGGTTGGGTTAGTAGAGAACAACAAAAAATAATATTATGGCAAGCAGTTGTAAGAAGGTAAAGACATACCACTTTCATTCGGAATGGGAAGAACAATACTTTTTTACAGAAGGTAAAGATAAAAATGTGTGTTTGTTATGTAATACTTCGGTCTCCGTTGCTAAAAAAGGAAATATTGAGAGACATCATAAAACTGTACATTCTAATTTTGAAAAATCATTTCCACTACATTCTGCCGCCAGAAAGGAGAAACTGAAACAGTTAAAAAAGCAGTTAATTGGACAACAATCAATATTTTTAAGAACAGTCGACAAAAATAAGGCTGCAACTGAAGCATCGTACCGTGTGTCTCAGATAATTGCATAAAAAAAGAAACCTTATGAAGACGGGGAAATGATAAAACAGGCGTTTTTAGAAGCTGCTGATTCGTTATTTGCCAACTTTAGAAATAAAGACGAGATAGTTTCAGCTATAAAATCTATGCAACTTTCCGCTAATACAGTGATGAGACGTGTAGAAGTAATGAGCAATGATATTTTTTTACAGTTAAGAACTGACTTAGATGACTGTGTTTATTTTTCACTTCAACTGGATGAATCAACAGATGTCGTTGACACTGCCCAGATGGCTGTGTTCGTCAGGATGGTTTTTAGTGATTTTACGATTATAGAAGATCTTTTGAAGTTTATTCCACTGAAAGGACACACTACTGGACAGGAGTTGTTTTCTCATTTAAAAAATATTATTTCTTCCGAGAAAATTCCAATACCGACAACCGATGGCGCTCCAGCTATGGTGGGTTGTGATAAGGGTCTGGTGGCGTTTTGTCGTAAAGATGAAACTTTCCGCAATTTCTCTGTTATCACTGCATTCTCCATCAGCAAGCATTATGTGGAAATTTCCTGAAACTAAACAACGTTATAAAACTGGTGGTAAAAATTGTGAACAAGATTAGAGCTCAAGCGTTGCAAAGAAGATTATTCAAAACCTTGGCCGATGAAGATAACTGTCAATATAGGAACCTACTCCTTCATTCTGAAGTCCGATGGTTAAGTAGAGGACGGGTGCTGAAACGTTTTAATGATGTCCTATCTGGCATAGTTCAATTTTTCAAACAACGCGATGAACCGACTCCGGAACTAGAAAATTCAATCTGGCTTAGAGATTTTGGTTTTCTCGTGGACATTACAGAGAAAATAAACGAACTTAATTTGCAGCTTCAGGGGAGAGACAAAGAACTAGCGGAAATTATTTCTGATATAAAATCATTTATCAAAAACTAATTAACAGCGATACCAAGCATTTTCCTATTCTTTCAGAAAAAATATCTCAAAATCCATTAGAACCCTATGACAGCAAATATCATGTAGAAATAGTTTTTACCCTGAAGAATAACTTCAAAAGTCGTTTTAAGGATTTCAACGAAATGGCTTTAGTAGCGCAGTTTGTTGTTTCACCCTTCATGGAAATTGATATCCAACAGTTTGCAACATGTGTTATGCAGAACTTTGGCGAAGACATCGCTGCAATAGAAATGGAAGTAATTGAGTTTCAAAATGATTTAGCCTTAAAATCGTTAGTCTCAAGTACCAAATATATCTGGCCTATTGTAAGTAAAGACAAATATTCAGTTCTATGCCGTGTTGCCTTGAAAGTGAAATCATTATTCAGTTCAACCTATTTGTGTGAATCTTCTTTTTCCAATATGAAGTTTATTAAAAACAAATATCGCAATCGACTTACAAATGAACATTTGGATAATTGTATTCGAATGGCTGTATCAAATTATACTGCAAACATTAAAAAAATTATCGATGAGTCTGAGCTGGAACGTGCTTTTTTATTTTTCAATGTTGATGTTCATGATAGTGCGTTACTTTTTTGTTGTTATTATTAACTATTTTTAAATCTTACGTGACATGCCGTTGTGGCTGAATAAAAGTTTGTATTTATTTTTCAAACACCTTCGTTTGGTAAGTAGGAATGTGGCTATGAACAAGTACGTACTAGTAATATTAGTTATTTTGTTATTAGTTTATTATTAGTACCTATGCATTATGTATTACCAGTTAAATAGTAAAATAAATACATATAATGATAAATTAACTGTGGCTTATTTCATTTACGTTGCGTTACGTGGCTTCCGTGTGGGTAGCTCGCTGTTTATTCTAAAATTAGCAAAGTAGCTCAACACATTGAGAGGTTGGCGAACACTGAGTTATAACAATAAGTTTTGCATCATCTGAACAAAATATAAACTATTTATAAGGCCAAAATAAGTTAAGAGCCATAGATTTTCGTTTAAACTGTATTTTCAGACTGACTTGTAATTTAATTATTTAATTGTCTTTTTGCGTATATATCAAAGAAAACTTAAAAATATTATTAGGCAGGGTAGCTATAATCTATATAAAATAAAATATTAATAATAATAATAACCGGCACTCGTCGACATGATGGTAATTAAAAAAAAAGCAAATGGCCGACTTTTCGGCTTTCCAACTAAATCCAGCAAAGCGTTAAAATATTAGGTAAAAAAAACACATTACCTGACAATTAATCCCAACGGTAACACAATAAGCACATATAAAAGACAAGATAATTATGGAAATCTACTCATAATAACCAGAAACTAGTAGATTATTTGTCGTCACAAAACTACCACTTAGTTCGATAAGCCAAAAGGACGATTCAGGCGACAGCAGCCGGTTTTATAGTTCACCAGCGTGAATGTAGAAGAAAATGAGGGACCAGCACGCAAGCCGTGTCTTTCAAAGAGCGGCATTCGATTAAATTTTGTCATTACGAGGTATAATGAAGAAGTTTTTGTTAAAAATAAATTTGAAATTAATTTAAAATTAAGTTCACGTAACAGCATTTAGAGACCATGTTCTTTTTTGTAAATTATTAGATTTCATTAATAAATCTCTATTATATTTAATTGATTTCTCACATATAGTTTTTAGATAATTTTTTTAAAGCACAATATTCTTTCTTTATATTATTATTATTATTACTATGTTTACAGATATCATTTAAAAAATGTAAATGCTTTCTCATCCTATTCGCATTCTTACTGTACTTTATTGTAGGTTTAGAATTTTTAGTTAAATATTTCTTAGGAAAAGATATATTGTAAGAATGTGACATATTTTTAGTGATTTGCATAGATAAATTATTGTCATTTTTACCTGCAAAATAGAGATCCCAATCCACATTTAACAAAGAATTTTTGAAGGCTATGATATTGTTTTTAGTTTCCACTCTTAGCAATTTTCTTTGTTCTCATAAAGTTTCAAATCAGCTATATAATTAATTGAAATAGCTATGTGATCAGAAAGGTTAGGTTCAAAAACCTCAATTTTACAAGTATTTAGGTTTAAATTCGTAAAAACATTGTTGCGGAGGTCATTGTGACCCTAGTGGCCTCCAATAAACCAAAAGTCAAGAAATGATTAGTCAGAAGTTCTTAATGGAACTTAAAATATTCAAACAGATAGAACGTTTTTTCTTTTTCCGTTTATTATACATGTATAGTATATTTCATCGACTTTCAAGTTTTTCTTTTTATTTTAAGAAGAAAATCAAGACTTTGCGAGGGGGCAAAACAGAGGATATGGAACGCAAGGAGGTAGAGGTGGTGATGGAATTGTAATTCATTCTGGTGGACACAGGACAGTAATAGGTCCGGGAGAGGAAGGAAGCTCAGTTTATGACCAAAGAGGAGTAGCACGTGGAGGACAAGGAGGAGTTGGAGTTATAAGAGACGGAGTAATAACAAGAGCAGAAGGCGGCCGGAGAGGAGAAGGAATAAGAGTTGGCGGTCAAGAAGGCTATAGACGGACGCAGCATTCAAAACAAACTGGTTATGAAGGTTGGTATTAAAAAAAGTTATAAAATATTACCTCTAAGAACTGGAAAAATGCTATAAACCATGTAATAAAGGTTAAAAACGAATATATGCGATACCTACCAGTTTTAAAGGACTTGTAATTAATGTAAGCAAAGGTGAATCTGATGAGGAAGGTGATGGTAGTGATTTGGATTAGTTTTAAAAACATATTTTTTTATTAATCAATAAGAATTCATAAATAAAAAATTTAATCAGTAAATCCTTCTTTTGATTTTATTTTATTTTTACTTGTTAAGTACAACTCTGTACACTGTACAGGAATCAGTATTAGCAGGAAAAAACAAATAATGATTTTAACTGATAAAAATGTTTACATTATATCTTGAACGGTATAATCAATCTTTTGTTTGGTATACCTTTATGTACTTTATAGGAGGTCGTAGAGGTCAAGGTGGGTTAGTAATTGGAGAGGGAGACACAGTACATGGGTACGCAATAGGAGTTGGACAACCAGGACGTAATGGTGGCAGAGGAGAGGATGGAGTTGTAATTACTGGAGGCAGAGTAAGCGGAGATATAATAGGAGCTGGTGGACGGGGAGGATATCCTGAGCGTGTTGATCCCTATAACAGACGAACGCCGGAACAAGGTATTTTGCAAATTAATCAGCTTTGAATCATTTCCATTTTCTGATTTTCATTTTATTGTCATACTCCTACTGTGCTATTATATCTGGTGTGGCCTTTTTCTTTCGGAAATGGCTAAAGTTGACATAGCTGCACAAAATAATCGATAACACTGATCCACTCTCACTAAATACACCACAACTAATACTTTCTTGAAAACTAACAGGCTATAACAAGAAAACTATTCGACAACAAGTAAAATCTTTTTTATGATTTTTTAAATAATATATGCCAATATGCCTATATAAGTTATAGGTTATGCAACTAACAATACAGACCTAATATTGGTTGCATAGATATAGGTACAATATTATTGCAATTTTTTAAGTGAGCGGAAACATACATAATTTATATATTTTTTTTTTTGATCTTGTGCTTATTCAAAAAATTCAAATTATATAAAATGTTATATTTTTTCCACAATTTTCTAAATATTCATTTTGTAAAATCTTTGATTGGATGTAAAAAAATTAATGGTTAGTCCTTTTTCACCAAACACAATTTTATAATTTAGCCAAAATTAGAAAAAATCTTTTATGTAACGGTTTGTATAAATAAGCGTTTCGTTTCTAGGGCAAAGAGTCCTAAATAGTCTAAATAAAAATCTCAGGTGATGGAGGTTTTTTCCAAGAAGATTTTTGTGGTCATTTCAAAATTTCATTTACTGTAATATTTTAAATATTTGGTACACCGGTTAGAGAAATTATCATTCATTTAAATAAGAAATAATATATCATTATTTATTAATAAATTTTTAAGGATATGGTACAAATGGAAACGGTTATAGAGGACAAAGACAAGGACAAGGGCAAGCAGGATTAGCACGATACGCTTATCGAAGAAAACGGGAAATAGAAGCAGAATTGAACCAATCTCTAGAAGGTATACACAGTTAAATTAAGAACACTTGAAGTTTACAAAAAAAAACCTACTTTGTTTATTTAAAATTGTATACAAAAATGGATCTTTATTAATTTCGAAAAATTATGTAATAAAATGTTTTTCGTAATAAGATTAAAATAAAAAGAACGTTAATTCCCCCATTGACAAAGTATTGGAATTTCGAGGTTAGTTACATGACTTTAATAATTGTCAAATGTCACTACAGTTTCTTGATCAAGACGCAAAAAATACTGTTCAGCAGACTATAAAACTGTTGCAAATTGATCTGAAACAGATCCCGATCAGATTTTTCTGCTGAACGTAGCCATTAACGTTCACTGCAGGAGTTCAAATGTCTTCTTCCTTTTGACCCTTCTGTTAAGAGTAATTCAAAAAGTCCTTTATTTACATTATGTACAATTTTTGTTATAATAACATACTATTCACATATATTAGAAGGATATCTTCTCAATCTGACTTCTTGGGAAGTGTTCTCTTCTACTATGGCCCCATACGAGACCATGACCGATGTTGAGGTCGTGCAAATTGCAGTTACTATTTATTATTTTGATGAAATAACTTCTCCTTGTTGTTTTAACAACATAATAAGCCAATTTTGGTGAGCTTGTAAGAACGATAATGGGATAGTTCTGGGTTTTTGTATGATTTTAATTTTGTCTGTTAAGAGTAGAGTTGTCCAGTAATTGCAGCGCTTCTTCGTTGACGTGGAAGTGGAGTCGACCCTCATGTTTCGCATAAAACCTTTTTTATTTCTTCTTTGATTATAGGCATCTTCAAGTCTCTATGAAGATAATCGTTTCGATAGAAACAAGGTACATCCACGATGCATCTTAGGACTTTATTTTGGAAAACTTGTTGATATTACTCTTGCTGGAACATGCCCATAGCCGTATGCCATAAAATCAGATAAACCATGTATTTCTATCACATTTCTATATAGATATTAATAAATAAGTCTATAAAAACTATAGGAATAAGTAATTAATAAGAACATAGGTATAAAGTTAGAATAATTAAAAAGTAATTAAGCTGTAGTAAAGCTATTAATTTAAAATTAAGAAAATAGAACAAAAAGCAAACATGGTAGTGGTAGTCAAAATGGAAATTATAATACTGATACCTTGATAATCTGCACAGGGATTCTTACGTGCGAACTCAACACGTAACGAATCGAATAGAGAGAGACATGATATAAGAATCGCATTCTGTAGAACGAAGATAGGCGTCTCAACACACGCCGTATTGAAAGATGAGAATCCCAATGCTGATCAGTACCCATACCTAATGATATTGACGAAACTAAAACGTAATAGAATCAAAATAAAACGGTAGATTGTAAACTACATAAATAATTAAATGTTTATTGTACGTATGAAGTTTATTAATATTAAAATAATGTTACAAAAATAATAATTATTGAAACAAATGGAATAACACAGTCTTAACAAAAGAAACCGACTGCATTCCTCAACGGTGTTCGATAATCTGCCCATCCAAATAGTTGACCCACTGATTGAACCTTAAAATATGATTAAATTATGATTAAATTTTCAGAAATTTACAGCAGCAATTCAAACTTAAATAGTGTTAAATTTGAAACTGAAATAACAGTAATAATTCTGAATAAAAGATTAAGAGAAACTCACCTGTAGTTATAGTCTATTTTTATGTATGAGAGAGTATTAAAATAATAAAGCGTTCGTAATCCATAGGCGTACCACTTCTTTAAGTAGACAGTTAAAATATTTTTTGAAGTTATTCCTCGAGTATACACTTATATTTTCACCTAATTAACCTGCTTATAACTTCTAAACAGCTGAAGGTAAAAAAGTGGAATTTTTTTCTAAAATGTTTTATTTTTCCACAAGGTATGTTAAGAACATTGTGTCAACCGGGTTATGTAGGTATAAGGGTTTAAACTTTGACTTTTAAACAACGTTACGTTCATAAATAATAATTTTAATATAAAAACTACTTCTTACCTACAAATGCAAATCAGAATCGAAATCAGAAGATGAACTGTCGCAACCAATATTTACAATGAGTGGCTCGATCATTTCATCAGTAATATTGTCCAACTTCCACATTTTCTCTTCTTCTTTAATCGTATGATTTACTGCCTTTTCCCAGTTTTTAGGCTTCACATTATTCACAGCCTCCAAAAACAACTGTTTAACATTACTCATTTTAAAAGAATTATTTTTTCTTGAAACTTCTCCCTTTATCTGTGCCCATATCAGTTCAATCGGGTTTACTTCGCAATGATATGGTGGTGATCTAACCACCGTCATCCCACGATTTTTTGCAATTTCATCAATTTCAATTTTTTGAATTTCTCTTTATGAAGGGAACACAAATGATACAGTTCTTTTCTCACAGAACCGGGATGGAACTTAATATTCTTTGAATTTAGCCAATTCTGTAAATCTTTTTTTAACCACTTGGTTGTGGGCATTTTTTCTATAAGTCTCGAGTGATAACTTGCATTATCCATTACTATTATACAGTTCTGAGGAAGAAGATCTATAATTTGTTCGAACCACTCTTTAAAGGCATCAGCATTCATGTTCTAATGGTAGTCACCGGTACGAGTAGATTCAAAAGTCAATAAACCACCTTTAACAAAACCGTTTGAACTACCGATGTGTACTATTATTAGTCTGCGCCCCTTTCCTGATGGTGGATTTAAACCAGTAGATAAATTATTTAAAAAAGCCTGTCTTCGACTTGTAACAGTTTCATCTTGCCAAAATTTATTTGGTTTATGTCCCTCGTTGATCCATGTTTCATCTAAATAAAATATATTTCTTCTTTGGTTTCTCATTTCTTTTATAGTCCTTAGGTAATTTCTTCTCCATACTATCGCTTCTGTCTATTAAAATAGACTTTCTGGAATGCTTTTTCCATAGAAAACCTATTTCTTTTAAAAGTTTCCATAGTGTGCTTCGACTCATTTCAGGGTAATCCTTATCATCTCGAACCGTGGCAAGAACTTTGTCTACTGTCGGAAATTCTTTTCTAAAGAAGAACGCATGCACTTTCCTTCGAAGTCTTTTTTTCAAAAGATTTTCTAATTGAAATTTTGGTTTTCCTGGAACTTTACGTGCTGTTTGAAACTCGCCACATTTTTCTTCTTTAACAACTCTGTAAATCGTAGATTTCCCAACACCAAGCGTACTACTAACTAATTTCACTGTGTAATCAACACTTTTACATAAATGTTTGTCTGTAAATGATTTAAAACAATTAACTATTAATGTTTTTTCATTAACTGTTAAAGGACCGATTTTTTGTCGTTTACGCGGCCCTTCCAAATTTTCCATGATCACACTAGAATTCACACTGCACCTTGCAAGTTGCAACTAAACTGTCAAGAATACACAACTTGGACCTCCTTACTAAATGGAAAACCTATAATCGCATTTTCGGTGAAATTTGTTGGGAAGGTATTTATCTACTTATAATTCGATTACTGTAAGAAATTCTTGGAATTAAAATAAAACAAAATTGGCAAATAGGTACTTATTGAAAATAATCTTAAGAACGGCTATGTAATCTTTAATACACAGTGCTTTTGGCCTGTCCAAACCTTTTTCTACTGTTTTGTACAGCTTATGTTTATAAAGGACCAATAAAAGACCCAAAACTTGTAATAGCTCAGGTACATTTATTACAATTTTAGGAAATATTTAGATTATTCTGTAAAAATATTTAAAATGACCGTACTAAGTTTTGCATTAGAAATGCTGTTTTATTACTCTCCCATACATAAAAATAGACTATAATAACAATAAAAAAGTTTAGACCAAAATTTTTTCATTCTTATTAGCTATAATAAATTTGATTAAAAAAATCTCTGCAGTACGGTTAATTTTAGTACGGTTTTTTAGATCTTCAGATCTACTGCTTAATTTTTATTTATAAATATGTTGACAGAAAATGACGAAAAAGAAGATGAAGCAATTTTGGCAAGGGAAAAAAGAGAAGACGACGATGACGATGATGATGATGATGATGACGATGACGACGATAAAGACGCGGGACGAGGAGGAGACGGAGTCGTAATGAGTGGAGGATATGTAAGTGGAGGAACTATAACGGGAAGAGGAGGACGTGGAGGAAACCGTCACAGGCGTGAAGTTCAAGAAGAAAACCAATTTATTATTCAGGGTGTGTATATTTCATAAATGGATAAATTTCTGGATTTTAAAAATTGATAAAATAAAATAAAATAAACGTTATTATCTACTATTAAGTGTATAGACATACACAATTTTAATCTTTATATTATTATGTAGGTCTGGTGGCCGCGGCACTGGCTCTTACTTTATTAAACTAATGTAATTTAAACCAATGCTCTTTAGGCAAAGATTTCAAATCAAATGCAATTTAGACCAATTAGTTTTTAGATAAAATGTATTTAGAACAATTGATATTAAACTAAATGAGGTAAACTAATTTTTTTAGATCAATTATCCGGGAACCCTGTTCGGTTATGATCAGAGGCTACCCTATATACTTAATAAAAAATATATATTTCTACATAAGTTATTGTAGATTGTATTGATTTTATTTTTAGAAGAACAACAAGATGCATTTGAGAGGAGACAAAAGAGATCACCAAGAAGAGGTGGAAATGGAGTCGTAGTAAAAAGAGGAGGAACGGTTTACGGAAATGTTTCTGGTTTAGGAGGACGAGGAGGAAATCGTAGAGGCAGAGGTGGTAATGGAGTCATAGTAAAAAGAGGAGGAACGATAATTGGAAATGTAGATGGAACTGGTGGAAATGGTTGTAGAAAGTAAGACGTACGGGAAAAAATCCAAGAAAGTGTCCAACATGCGTACAGATGAAAGCAGTGGATTTTTTACGAACCCAAAAATTTGAATTATTCTGGATATCAGTAAATTATTTTAAGATAATTTTTGGGAAATAAAAAAATAAAAACTTAATTTTTGTTTATTTTATCACCACGTTCACTTCTAGGTGCAGACAAAAAGTAAAAATAACGCAAGAAAGGAAAATACTTTCGTCATTTTATTAGTTTATGATCTCTCTTTAAATTTTTTTTCTAGAGCGTTGCAAACTCATCCGGGTGCAGAAGAAATACTTTGCAACGAGTTACATACAGTGTGACAATTTTAAAACTTACTATGAGCTATATCTCACAAACGAAAGGTGATATCAAAAAATGCTCAAAATGGTTTCTAGGATAGGAAGGGGTTACTAAAATTACTTAAAAGAGGACCCAATAGGCCTCACCTACCCCAACTAAAAATGTTTAAACAGCAAACCCCCTACTTGTGATACATCATAAAAAATTCTATCCAATGGTATAAATATTAATTGTATCAATAAGACACAGCAAAGGAAAGCAATAACGAGGCTTATCAAGGTACAAAGACTTGCCTGCCTCGGAATAACGGGGGCAATGAAAACAACCCCCACTGCTGCAATGGAAGCACTAATAGGACTCCCACCTCTTCACTATGTGATACAAGGGGAGGCAAGATTAGGTGCTTACAGATTAGGGAATACACTGGGAAATCTTGACATTAGGCCAGGTCACATGAGTATCTCAAGGTTAGTGACAGGAGACGTGCTAGACATGAGATCAGACCACTTAACCAAGAGGTACTCTTTTAATACTCCCTTTGAGGTTTTAATACAGGAAAGAGCGGAGATCACCATAAGGGAGCCCAATGCCCAACGACAGGAACAAACCTGGTATACAGACGGGTCTAAGACTGCGGAAGGCACTGGGGCAGGAGTATTCTCCAAAAACCCTGATACTAACCATAGCTATGCTATAGGAATACATGAACAATGAAAGAGCTGTCGAAAATCAGCATATTCAAATAATGTCAGACAGCCAAGCGGCACTTAAGGCCATATAGAGTCAGAAAGTTACGTCGAGGCTGGTATGGGAATGCATCGAAGAACTAAGAACACTGGCAGACCGTAATAGAGTAAAACTATTTTGGGTGCCAGGTCACAAAGGCAACGAAAAGGCTGACGAACTTGCAAAAAGAGGGTCAGAGAAACACCAGAACCAGACACAAACCCAGGAGTACCAAAAAGTACAGTCCGGGGTTTTATATTCGGGAACAACATATCAACTATTGGGGAAGCACCCCAAAACAGGCACATGGAAAAGCCTTCATAGGCAGACCATGTCCCAAAAGAACTGGAGAACTACTCTTAATGAATAGGAACCAGTTGAAAGTGATAACAGGGTTCATGACTGGGCACGCCCCAGTAAAGGGACACTTGAACAAAATTGGCATGTACAATGGGGAACTCATGTGCCGACTATGTCACAAGAAACCAGAAACGGCCAAACACATACTGTGTGAATGCGAAGCTCTAGATCGCAAAAGACAGGCTCTTTTTGGACAACCCCAGGTTGATCCAACAACGTATAGAACCCACTCACCCAAGGATCTGTACAAACTTGTACAAGGTACAAAGGTGATAGAGTGGGTGCTATGAACTAACATGGGGTAAACCACAATAAGCCAATAGGCTTCAGTGTTATTCGGAGACACATAGTCAGACGAGCCCAGGAGAGAAAAAAAAATTGTATCAATAATTACCAAATTAATATCTAACAATTTTAAAAATAAACATACCCTACTTCTTGTGATACAATGTTAAAAAGCTCTAGAAGTCAATAAAAACTTATTTTTAATGATAAGTGTCAGTATGTACTTTTTGTTGTTAAATAAAAACTTTATTATAGAAACCATTGTAAGTTTTTAAATTTTCACACCGTATGTTCGTGTCGGGACATTTGCCCAGTCTTTTAAGGTAGATTTTGATCCGGCAACGTTTTACTTAAGGTGAGATGGTACCAAACCACCCCAAAGCATCGGATAGATGCGCACGCATAGTCGTACGATAGATATTAGGCGAGTTCGGATAGTCAGGGGCTGGAGCGGGACAAAAGCGGAGTTTTTTTATTGTGCGTTTAAATGACATTTAAGCATGTTAAACTGTCACTAATCGGACTAATCCGAACGCTAGAAGGGTCGTTTGGAGTAAAAAGGAGTTAAAGGAACTTGGTAGACCGAACGCAATGATTGATAGATAGGACCATTATTGGCAAAGGAAACAATAATTTATTTCTTGAATGAGTAAAACCAAATTTGGTAGATTTTCACAAAACTTTTATTTTAAAAAATAAAAATTAAAAACACTACACATGACATGTTTCGAAGTACAACTTCTTTTTCAAATGTGACTAATTTACAATTCGGTATCCAATATATATGCGAAATAATTTAACAAAACAAAGTACTTAAGAAAACATCAATAACATAACAAAATAAACTAACTATTTAAAGTAAATGAGGGTACTTAGGTAATTATCATATCAATCAAATAACAATAAGATAGTAACATTACCGGGATTATCTCAAAGAAAACTAGGAAAGAGATTTAATAAGGGTGAGTTATTAATATCTAACTGATCATTGAGTAGGTTATCTGAATTTTTAAATGTATTTATTTCAAGTGTTTCTAAATGGTTTAGTTTATTGCCCTTATTTTCTATATGTAAAATTTCAAAGTTGTCTGTAAAAGAATGATTTTCAGCTAAAATATGATTTGAGTAAGTAGAATTATTTTTGTTTTTTGTATAGCTATTATAATGTTCGGCTCCATCAGTTAAACTTTCACATACCAGAGCTGGGGAGGATTCGAATCCAGGATTCGAATCCTTTTTGAGGATCCGAAAGCGGGATTCGAATACTTTAGAAAAAAAGGATCCGTGATCCGGATTCGCAAAGAAAATCCTAAAGGATTCGTATTCGAATCATCAATATCAGTCTCGGATCCTTTTAGAAACCAAACTACGCCGGCGCGAACGGCCGACTCAAGCTTTGACTTGTCACGAATTGTAAACTAAAAACTAAAACAGACTGAGACTGAATAGAAAACCGAGGTGTTTAGCGTTGTGCACGATTACAGAATTAACAAATAATCTGATATAGATGCTCAATACAGTTAAGTAAAAAAAAATCTGCATCCATATCCACATGTAGGCATATTATTTATTTTTCTAATTTTTGCACGATATACAAAATAAATATGTGGGCGATATTAGTCTATTGAACGAATATAATATATAATTATATTCATTCTATGTTTTCTATCAATTACAATTAATTCATTACTTAATGTCAAGTTGACTATTTTTTTTATTGTTTAAAATGAGTTAGTTTTAGTTATTAATATAAAATATAATTAAAAATTAGTGATTCTTGTGAAAAATCGATAAATAACGGCAATCAACTAGAGTTTTTTTATATTTATAAGGAAACTTAAGTAAAGTTTAAACAATTTTTATACTTATACGAGTATGTAGTCAGTAGAGCGCGTCACTTAGGTAATCGCCTATATGCCAAATGTGACAGCCAGCTTCGTTTTTCAGCTTCAAGTTTTAAATGTTTTTATGTATTTATTTACGGGTCAAAACTCATTTTACAGATTTGTATAACACAGTTCTTAACAAATATAAGACAATTGGCAGCATTACAACGAGTTATAAATAATAATATACACGGCAGTGGCGTAACTACCATAAGACAAGTATTGCAAATATTTGAAGCCTAATATTTAAGTTTTTTTTTTAACTCTCGAGAATTTATAATAATTTACAACTTAATTACTACTTAGTTTAAATTGAAACTTGATTATCTTTAAAAAAAAGAAATATTATGTTGTCATATGTAAAATAAATGAAAAAAATTGAGGGCCGTTGTTTTATTTTTAATTAGCATTTATTTGTGATTTGTAACTGAAATCTTTATGTATTTTGCATTAGGGCCAAAAAAATATAGTTACGCCATTGACACACGGTGTCTCAAAAAAGTTTTATAGAAATGGGAAAGATTTATTTTACTTTTTACAAAAAAAAATTCTTGATAAAAATTCTGCATCGCTAAAATGCTAAAATGTGTATTAGAAATTTTTTAATTTTACAATTTTATTTTTATTATGTATTTCCAAGTGATGCAGAACTTTATATCAGGAATATTTTCTTTGTAAAATGTAAAAATATATTTTTCCCATTTGTATAAAACTTTTTGAAACACACTGTATGTAGGAGTACCTTCGAGTACACCTCTAAAAGGTCACACAAATGTCACGCCATAGTTATTAATTAATACCACAATATAACACTGACAGTGATTCGTATCCGTGATCCGAAAAAAAGGATTCGAATCACTTGATTCGAATCCTTTTTATTTTGGAAAAAGGATTCGAACATTGGATCCGTGATTCGAATCACATCTCGTGATTCGGATTCGTGATTCGAATCCATTTTTCGAGGATTCGTCCCAGCTCTGGTCACATACATTAATTAAACTTATACAAGAAAACTGCAAATTCCATTCAAAGTATAGTATAAAAAATTCTTATGAATTAACAGAAAAATTAAAAAACATTAAATTACCTAGTAACACAAAATTAGTATCGTTCGTTGTAACAAACTTATTTCCTAGTATACCTCCTAAAGAAACAGTTAAGCTAGTAGAAAACTTATTAGATCGTAATCAAGTCAATATTATAATCAAAGAAGAAATCCTAAATTTGTTAAACATTTGCCTAAAACAAAATTATTTTTAATTTCAAAATAACATCTACTCAGCAAATGAAGGTCTTATTATGGGGAACCCATTAAGCCCGTTGCTTGCGGAAATATTTATGGATAATATAAAACATAAAATTCATAGCAATAATTTAAGTAAACATTGTCTTTATTGGCATAGATATGTTGACGATATACTGACTGCTTTTACTGGTATTAGTAGACAGTTAAATTCTTTATTAGTTTTTATCAATACTATACACCCTAATATTAAATTTACTATGGAAACAGAGAAGGATAATTCAATTAATTTTTTTATACTTAAATATTATTAAAATT